CTTTAATAAACTTAAAGTACATAACAACACTAAAGTACCTGCTGTTAGCATTTAAATACACTTAAAGTACATAACAACATTAAAGTATCTGCTGTTAGCATCTTAAATACACTTAAAGTACATAACAACACAGTAGCAGCTGTTAGCATCTTTAATAAACTTAAAGTACATAACAACACGACAGTACCTGCTGTTAGCATCTTTAATAAACTTAAAGTACATAACAACACTAAGCTCTGTTAGCATCTTAAATACACTTAAAGTACATAACAACACTACAGTAGCAGCTGTTAGCATCTAGCTTGTTGGAGGAGTTGGCTATCTTTGGATTCTCCCAAACAAACAACGTCTTGTCTCTTTTTACTTTAATTCAATTATAATAATAACTGACGTAGTTTGAGTTATGAAAGTTAAACAAGTTACAGATTATCTTCTCCAACTGATCCTCAGTAATTTAATGTGTCACGTCCATCAGCTGACACATCTGTACACAAGCTGTATTATTGTATACATTCACTGCAGTTTATTATATATATAATACTTGTGTGAAGTTGTAAGTATTAAACAAACATGTAAAATCAGACAGCAGAGCGTCAGAAACTCATTCCTTAACTCACACAATCAATACTTCAGCTGAACAGGAAACAGGCCCGACAGATGTTTAAATACAATATCCTCGGTTTACGTTATCCAGATGATGTGAGAGTTGTGAATCTTCTCTGTAGGGTTTCGTTGTTTGACAGTAACTCTGCTGTTTGCTCTTGTTTGAATTTGACGGTGGATCAGTCACAGCTGACGCTCGCTCGTTAAGCTCGAGGCTCTATGTGTCTGTGGTGATAATTTTCACGTCTGTCACCCACATTTCACACTTTCTCACCCAGCATGAGTTACGACAGTTCTTCACTGATTTAACTGAAGAGGAAATACAAATTAGAGCTGGTCAATGACTCTTACAGCTTATAAATAACTTAACACTGCTGTCACATCTACTGGCTCCTCAAAATTCATTCAATTTGAATTTCAAATCATCAATACACCAAGGAAGTAGTGGTAAAATATAAACAAAACATTCCAAGACGTCAAGGAAACACGAATCCACAAAAGCCTTAGTAATAAAAACTGTATATAACTCTAGAACCTGTAGTTATCACCAGTAATGAGTCTTAAAGCAGTAAAAAACTGTGTCCAACAGTTCCGTGCACGTTTAAACGAGAAAGTAAAGGGTGTGTATCGAAGTTGTCTCTCTGACAAACATTAGTAGAAGTAAAGTACCATTGTTTGTAAGTAGGTCAGTTATGAGTCTCCCCGTGAAAAGCTTCAACCAACAACTTATCTGAACAAACGAAGCAACTGTTTTGATAATTGATTAATCAATTGTAATCTCCCATCTGTATTTACGGTCTGTGGTTTGGTTTCACGTGACGGAGCAGCAGCTCCTCACTCAACTTGACTGACTCAGCTGTTGCGTTTACATGTAATGTGGACGTAGTATATATATTTTTTTACTTTATAGCCTTTGTTTATGTGATGAGAACGTCCTCCCCTGAATATCCTCTCCTCAGTGTCAGTTGTGTGTTTCACTCTTGAAACTGAACCAGGATACAAGTGTTCTTCTTTCTTCTTCATATTTAAAAGTGATGCATCCGTAAACAGAAACTAAAACAGCAACATGACCATTTCCATCCTGGATATTTGGTTTCTTGCCGCCTCTCTGCTCCCTGCTGTGCTCCCTGCTGCTGCTGCTGGCAGTTCAATCATTGCATTGACAAAGAACAGGAAACTGTCTCCGCTCAGGCGACGCTGTTGATGCTTGAGAGACAGATGAGTTCTCTGCTGCATCATTAGCATTGCCTGAGCATTCTCTGGGGACCCCCCCCCTCCCTCCCTCCCTCCATCCTTTTTTTTACGCATGCACCATCTGCTCACGTGACGGTGTGTGTTGCTGTACCCAGCACTAATGTCAGCCATCTTGGTCAACACCCACCCAGTGCATTCACTGCGGTGCACAGGCAATCCAATCAGAGTGAGGCGGTGCTGAGCTGACCGGAGGAGGGCTGTGATTTCCTGCACGGTGCTCTCCTGCATTTTAAATCCCCCCCGTCTGCACAGGAGGGGATAGCCGGAGGTTGAAGAGGAGGAGGAGGAGGTGGAGGAGGAGAGGACGGGGCAGCCTTTCTCAAGACGGCAGCTAGTTAACTCAGTTGGAGCGAGGAGGAGAGAAGGATGCAGGCGTGAAGAGGAGGACAAGCATCACCCTTTCAGACACCTGCTAAACGCTGCTGCCAGCCTCCCCCCCCCTCCCGTCTTGGCCTTTTCTCTCCTTTGTGTGGACTCTCTTTTCATCCTGTCTGATTTCTCTTTCTCTCTGAGCTGTTGTTTTTTTTGGGGCCTTCGCTGGCTTCTGGAGCCGCTACGCCTTTTTTCCCTCAGCGGTGTTGGTTTTGCCTCACATCAGCTGAGTCATCATGTCCGATCTGACGCCTCAGAGCGAAACCCCAACTCCCACCACGGACAAGATCACCCAGGCCGCCCGCGAGACCATTTATCTCTGCAACTTCCGCGTGTCTGTCGATGGCGAGTGGCTTTGCCTTCGCGAGCTCAACGACATCTCGCTCACCCCAGACCCAGAGCCGGCCCATGAAGGTAATGAGGCAGATTAGCTCATCGGTCCGAGGAGGTTTGTGTGATGTGCGTTAGGGCGTGGTGGTTATACAAGGTCTCCAGACGCTGCATGATTGGTAACGTGTCCCGTTTGAGCTGTGTCATGGTGCATTTCGGGGGAGGAGGTTTGATTTCTCGGAGCAGGATCACACAGCAGGAAGGAGACGGGGATGGGGCGACAAAACAACCCGGAAGTGCAGGTTGTTTTGTCAGCAGCAGAATTAATTGATGGTTGATATTTGCTCTGTTTTCTCAAATCCTTGGAAATTGCAACAGAAATAGATATTTCTGGTCTGAAATTGTCTCATAAATCAGCTTTAAACACGCATGTCTTTACAGTATTTACGGTGTTTCTGTGGTTTCTCTGTTCCACACAACAGATGATGTTGTGTCTGTTGTCAGAGAGGAAGACGTCCTCATCTCTTGCCACGCCTTCTCTCGGCACAGACCAGGCAGGTCGGCAGTTCAGACTTTCCCTCAGCCAGTTGGCAAATTCAGCGGTGCAGCACTTCACCCTCCAGCTCAGCAGAAGATCTATTGTAATGATATTTCACTGGAGCACTAACACCCACAGAGACATTTATTGTGTTGTTTGTCTGCAGGATGAAGTCTCTGATGTGGTGCGTAAGATGACCGGGTTTATTAAAAGGGACGATCAATATTTTATTCTTTGCTCGACAAGATTGTGATGTTTTTTCATTTCAATGCAGTACCCAAGAGTCGACCAGCGGAGTTAACCTCTCATACTAAAACTGTAATACTAAGACTCTGAGCACTAATACTTCAACTTGAGATTTGAGGGGGAACTGGTGAATGTGTCGGCACATGTGATTTCCTTAACTCTGATTTCCAACTCGTCGATATAAAGAGAAACTGTAACCCTGTGAAGCTGCTCCACTAAGAGCCTGAGTGTCTGTTATGTACAGACATAAATAATGGATTAGTTCTACATGTATTTATGGATCATGCCAAGAATTAAGTGCTGACTGTAGCTGGACAGTGATTCTTTGGTTTCACGGTCGCACAGGAAACAGTTTCCATCTTTTATCGTCTACTTTTCCAGGCTTTTATTTCCTGGAAAAGATTTGGTGACAAAACGGAACTGACTCAATGTGAACTGACGGCTCCTGATAAGTTTAGCTCCCGTGAGGTCCTCGTTTTATTTGAATGATGAGACATTTATTTTCCAGGACAGGTCTCGATCAGGAGCAAGAACAACTTCCTCTTGTACGGAGAAAAAAGGGTTCTGTAAATATATGGTTTAAACCAAAAGTTGTACATGTAGTTTTATATAAAAGACACAGATGCTTCTTTGGTTCCACTGTCCATTGGTTTGTTTGTTTGTCGGCAGGATAACACGAAAGCTACTGAGCGGACTCCCTAAAACTTTGTGGAAGGATGGAACATGGGCAGAGAAAGAATTTATTCATTTAAATTGAAAATACAATTTTGGAACAGATCTGTAAAAAGGAAAAAATCCAGGATTTGTTTAATTCTCTGTAACATGTTGACATATCTTATTTCTTCTGCCTCTGATGAAAATGTGCTTTAGTTGATTTTATTTTTCCATTCTTGGGAGAAAAGACTGAATTTTTAGTCTGAGATCGATCGAATTTGTAAAGTAATTAGTTTATCTGTCTCGTTTGGTGTCTTATAAAATGTATCAATTAAAAATGTGGACTTTTTCTTGTCTATGTTTTTAGATCCCAAGGATCCCATCGCGATTGAAAGGCTTAACTTGATGAACATGGCCAAACTGAGCATCAAGGGCCTGATCGAATCTGCTCTCAACCTGGGACGCACGCTCGACTCCGACTACGCACCCCTCCAGCAGTTCTTTGTCGTGATGGAGCACTGTCTGAAGCACGGCTTGAAAAGTACACACTTCTTCACGTGTTCAGAATAGTTTACATGTCTGTTTCAGTCAGTCACAGCTTGTGTGTCATGACTCTGTGACCCAGATTCCTTAAAATAAAATCCCACTTTGTCAACCGGCAGCTAAGAAGACGTTCCTGGGGCAGAACAAGTCGTTCTGGGGGGCGTTGGAGTTGGTTGAGAAGCTGACGCCCGAGGCAGGAGAGATCACAGCCAGCGTTAAAGACCTGCCAGGCCTCAAGTGAGTCTGTCATTAAATTGCCCTGAAGGAGGCAGACGGTTCCTCCCCGTCAGTTTTTGGATTTTTATTGATATGATTAATGCATTTTACAAAATCTAAACCAAACAACCTGTTTGACGACAGAACTCCTCTGGGAAGAGGTCGGGCCTGGTTGCGACTCGCTCTGATGCAGAAGAAGCTCTCAGACTACATGAAGACCATCATCAACAGAAAGGACCTGCTCAGGTGTGTGAGGATCCACATTTAGAAAGAAATAAACCAGAAGTTGTTTCTGCAGCTCTTTCTTAAAAAGTCTTAAAAAGCTTTGAATGCCGTTGACTCAAAATGAGGCCTTAGATGTATCAGGACATTTCATTTACAAACATTTTTCCACGTGTGAGGGTAAACAAAAGCCAATCTATACTAATAAATGTAATTCTCTGTTATTAAAAAGAAAATGTAATGCTGAGCTCTCTTGCCTCCTGTCTGTAGTGAATTCTATGAGGCCAATGCGTTGATGATGGAGGAGGAAGGAGCCGTCATCGCTGGGCTGCTCGTTGGACTAAATGTCATCGATGCCAATCTGTGCATGAAGGGAGAGGATCTGGACTCGCAGGTAAATCTGCTTTCACTCACACTAGAAATGATACGATCAAATCCAACGGGACAGTTTCTGATCCGTGGTCACAGGAGGGAAGGAGGAAGATTCTGTCTTCATGTGGTGGCGTTCATTTTTATGTGAAGGTTAAACTTTAACTTTTATTGTTCTCCATAAACGAGACAGGAGTTTTTTCTTTTTACCTTTTTAAGTAGTTGGGTTGGGAGCATTCACGTAAACACTGGATTACACAGTCAGCTGTTTTTTTTTCCTTCCAGTGTCGAGTCATGATTACCTCCTCTGTGAACTGTCATGTCATGCAGATTTTAATCGTGGCGGTGGTGAAGACAAGAACTCCCATGAGCCCTTGCTGCTTCACAACGTCATCGAACTCGGTCTTTGGTTGTTATTTTGATTGAGATGGTTCAAGTTACTTTAAATTCTCAACAACTTGAGGCAAAGCTGTGGGATCATCCGTCCATCATGTTTACCTGAAACCTCTCCACGGTGTTTCACTCTTGAATTCTTTTCTCTAACAGCTGCGGTGTGGTTTCTGTCGCCATTGATTTTCTTTCACTTGTTAAATTACCTCCACAGGTCGGAGTGATCGATTTCTCAATGTACCTCAAAGACGGAGGACACAGCAGTAAGAGTGCAGAGGGGTGAGTGCTGCTTCCTGACCTCTAACCAAAGTGATTTTCATGATGTCAGAAGTTACAGTAAAGTCAGGACCTGGAGTCGGACCAACATAAATCTCTTCTCACGATGACGTTAGCTTCGATCTTACCCTGTGACGTGTCCCCACACTGGAGGCCTCTGGTCCTGACAGAGGAGCTTTAGGGCTCCGTCACGCATCTGCAAATATTTCAGTGAACCTCACTTCCAGACAAACCGCAGCGTGCTTCACGTGGGTGAACGTTTAGCTGCTCTGCGTTTGTGAGACTTGGGCGCTCTGCCGAGAACTTTAAAAATACATCCTGGCTCAGGGAAATACTAAAATATAAAACTTTCTTTCATCCCTCTTTTACATAAGTAATAGAAAATATTGGATTTTATTTAGGGGGTTAGAATCAGGTGACTGTTGAAAGTATTATACGTGAATTCAAACCAGAGTTACTTTGTGTATTTTATTATTTTCAATGCTACATTATCTTTACTTCCATTATTTACTCTCGCTGCTCCCTCAGTGACGGTCAGATCACAGCGATTCTCGATCAGAAGAATTACGTGGAGGAGCTGAACAGACATTTAAGGTTTGTCAGGTCGACGACTTGCTTCACTCAGTCTCTCCTTCCTCCATCTTCACTCTCCTTCTTCTAACGTAACGTTTCTGTCTGTTTTCAGCGCGTCGGTAAATAACCTCCAGGCCAAGGTGGATGCTCTAGAAAAGTCCAACACGAAGCTCACAGAAGAGGTGAGTCCTCTAAATGTTTTCATCTCTGCTTCTTGAAACACCTGCAGCGATTCTCTTTGTTTACCGAGCGGATTTGTTGACTTGTGTCTCCTCAGCTTGCAGTGGCAAATAATAGGATCATCACTCTACAAGAAGATGTGGAGAGAGTAAAAGAGGAGAGCTCGTATCAGCTGGAGTCCAGAAAGGTGAAGACGACACTCTGACATAATACTGATGCTAAACGAGGATCCTCTCTTTACGCTAACGTTAGTTAAACTTTAAACCAAACTTCTTTCCTCAGACACGTATTTAATTTCTAATTGGCTTCGTTACGTGTGAATAAATAAACATGAGAACTCAGCTCCTCCCTGAGACCATCACACTGACTGTGAGATGATGAACCGTCGCTTCTTCATGAACGATGTGTAAAAGTTAAATGACTCTACAACCTAGAGAAGATCTGTGATGTTCATGTTCCTGTTTTCTTCAGGCTCTAAGAAGCGACTCGGCAGCAGATGGACAAGCGCTCGGTGAAACACGCAAGCAGCTCAAAGAGGAAACTGTGCTCCGATTGGTGCGTTTAATGATGTGTAGCGTCATGTGACTGTTTTACTGAGGTCTTACACTGCGCTGATAGTAGCTTAGTTACACATATGTGTGATACATAACTGAGAGTCTGAGCGAGCTCCGAGTGGGTTCTGGACGTGAAGTGTGCGTCTGAAGTTCCAGCTGCTCTCTGTGCAGGACGTGGAGAAGGAGCTGGAGGTGCAGATCGGGATGAAGCAGGAGATGGAGCTGTCGATGAAGATGCTGGAGAAAGACATCTGTGAGAAGCAGGACGCTCTGGTGGAGCTCAGACAGCAGCTGGAGGATCTTCGTGCCATCAACCAACAGCTCGGACACAAGTCACAGGTAACGTTTCGTTTTCTTATCCTTGAACTTCAGGAAAACCTCAAACAAGATCGACAACTTCTCCGTTAAACTTTGGGCCCGTTCACACCTGGTATTAACGTCTGTCCGAAGAGATTTGATCTCAAGTGTTCAGCTCTGAGTTTGTCCGTAAAAGATTATCCTGTTTTAGCCGAGTCTGGGTTTTTGTGTCTGTTGTCAGTGAGAGAGAGAAAAGTCAGGAGGGATTTAAGAATTCAGTTTTTTGAAATTGTGGCCACAAACAAATCCACGTATGGACATTGAGTCTTATTAAAATGATTATTATTGAATCCTCAGAGTGCAGACGCCGGCTCTAAACAGAAGAGTGAGGTCATCTCTCGCCTGGAGGAGAAAATAAACCAGATGTCGGGGACAGTAAAACAGCTGGAGACCAGGTGAGAACACTTAGACACCATCATTGATATTTGATCACGTTTGTAACAGTGGACAGAAAGTTTATAAAGGTTTCACTAAACTACAACAATCTCTTACTGTCCTGTTTGTTGTTTCTCTCCTTCTCGTTCTCTACCATTATTTATTTCCCATCATTTATGTTATTTTTCGAATCAGTGAGAAACATTTGGTGAAGCAGGCCAAGAACCTGAACTCGACAGCGGGGAAGCTGCTCCAGCTGCAGCAGTAGCTCCGCGCCGCTGTCACACATCTGCATATAAACATACAACCCTGGCTAATATAATAATAACCCAACTAGGATGTTATCTTTTTTCTGTACGATGCTCCTCCGTTGAAAATAACGACCATCTCGCCACATCCTCCTGCAGTGGCTCTCCAGCATCAGCTTTGAGTAGTGTGGACTGAATCGATCCTTTT